TAGTCCTATCATGAAACACTGGATTAGAACTAATATGTATTGCAGGTTTGCTATCACACAACAACGACATTGGTCCATCATGTTTTATTCCAAGTTCTTGAAGTATTATCCTGATCCATTGGAGTTCAGCAGTTGCTTCAGCCATTGCTCTATATTCAGCCTCCGCTGATGATCGAAACACTGTATCTTGGTTCATACTCTTCCAAACAATTGGTGATGAACCATATTGTACTATCCAAGCGCTAAGCGACTGTCTTGTTAATGGACAAACACCCCAGTCCGAGTCACACCATCCACTCACGTGAGTTGATGATTCTGCACGCAAGAGTATACCTTGCCCAAGCGTTCCTTTGATATAGCGAACACACTTCATCGCGGCAAGCCAATGCTCCTTTATAGTCTTATGCATAAATTGAGACAAAGTATGAATAGCATACGACAAATCTGGACGTGTTGCCGCAAGATATATAAGTCGACCAATTAGACGTCTATACCGTTTTGGATCAGCGAGTAAAGGTCCATCAGCAAGACTCAATCTGTGATTCTGATCAATAGGAGAACCAGCTGGTTTACACCCCAGCAAACCTGTTTCTGTGACAATATCTGTAGCATACTTACGCTGACACAAATAAATCCCAGCAGGACTTCTCGCAACTTCTAAACCCAAAAAATATTTCACTGGTCCTAGATCTTTCATATGGAAACATAGAGACAAATAATTATTGAAGCACTGAATCTCGGCAGGTAAATTTCCTGATATTATCAGATCATCGACATAGATAAGAATCCTTAGAGAAAGACCATTCTTGTGATACACAAACAAGGAATAATCAGACCGTGTTCGTGTAAATCCATACGCTCGCAGAGCCTCTGCAAGCTTAGCAAACCAACATCGAGGAGCCTGTTTTAAACCATACAACGACTTCTGAAGACGACACACTCGTGTTTCACCATCAGGACAAAAACCTAGAGGAATTTTCTTATAAAATTCTTCTTGTAGATCTCCATGTAAAAATGCATTATGTACATTCATCTGATGCACCTCATGATTCATCTTGGCAGCAATATCCAGAAACAAACGCACCGTTTTCATCTTAGCTACAGGTGCAAAGGTTTCCTCATAATCAACACCTTCTTTTTGATGATTCCCCAAAACCACTAACCGAGATTTATATCGTTCAACCGTACCATCCGATCGATATTTTATTGTAAACACCCACTTACATCCAAGAGCTTTCTTATTAGGAGGAAGATATTCAAGTCGCCAAGTTTGGAGGTCTTCAAGAGAATCACATTCTTTATGCACTGCATTTCCCCAATTAGAATCTCGCATAGCCTCTTGAAAATACTGTGGTACAACACAAGTCTGAAGAGCTATCAAGAATTTCTGGTGCGTAGGCGAGAACCTGTCACACGAGACATAGTTTGAGATGGGATATTGCGTACCTGAGGATTGCTGTGGAGAGGGTGAGAGTGAGACGAGAGAGGACGAGGGACTCGAAGGTGAAATCGTATCTGTCACATAATCACGCAGCTTCACATTCTTTTTCTTTATACGGTGACCGCGACCTAGCAATTCTTCAGTGGAGCTAGTCAAGTTATCTTCAGCTGTCGTGGTCACTATTTCTGGCTGTGCCGGAGTTGGTACAGAGTTAGATAGTTCAGTAGAGGTCCTCGATCCACTAGTGTCAAGCACCGAAACATTTGGAGTATCCATTACCACAGAGTGGTCATCATCCGAATCTGAATCCAATTCTCTCATCACTGGATCAGTACTTAACCTCTTCTCTTCATTCGATATAAATGGAGGTGAAACATTAATAGCAAAAGGAAACTTTGTCTCTTGGAAGATGACATCCCGAGATGTAAAGACCACTTGTCTTTCTAGATCAAACAATTTTCAACCTTTCTTGCCATAGGGGTAACCTAAAAATACACAACGACGACTCCGAGATTGAAATTTATCACCCTTATGATCGATGTTATGTGCATATGCCAGACATCCTAGAACTCGAATATGCTTGTATCCTGGTGCGTGACCATACAGTATCTCAAATGGAGTTCTATTCTGTAAGAGTGCAGACGGAGTTCTATTTATAAGATAACCAGCAGCCAGAATACATTCTCCCCAATATTCAATTGGTAGACTCGCCTGGAACCGGAGAGCACGAGCTATATTCAGGATATGACGATGTTTACGCTCCACACGACCATTTTGCTGTGGCGTATACACGCAAGAAGTCTCATGTATGATACCTTGCTCTCTGAAAAAATTCGTTAAGCACATAAATTCAGTCCCATTATCGCTTCTGATTTTCTTAACCTTCCGAGAAAATTTCCTGTCAATCATGGCAAGGAAATTTCGAATCTGTTGAGAGACCAGGGATTTGTCGGCCAGAAGGTACAACCAGACAGCCCGGGAACAGTCATCTACTATCGTCAAAAAATATCTTGAGCCACAAAACGCAGTTGTACGATATGGTCTCCATAAATCAATATGTAGTAAATCAAAAACCTCTTTTGCATTATTAGAACTTGAAGGAAAACAATGTCGAGTTTGTTTTGCTCTAAGACAAACATCACAACTCGTAAATAAGTTCTCAATACTACTATTATTCTCACTAACTCTAGAAACATTCCCCGTGATGTGAGATGATGGATGACCCAGCCTATTATGCCACAAACTCAAATCTGCACGCACACTAGCCTTCATAACAGTCATCGGCTCAACCACACGAAACCGGTATAGTCCCTCTCTCTATTGTTCACCCGCTCCAATCAGCATCCTCGTAGTACGGTCCTGCAGAACAATCAACTTATCAGTAACCTGTCCGATCAAGAAGTTATCTGTAACTACTTGGCCAAAGGAAATCAGATTAGTATGAAATCCAGCAACATAAAAAACATTCTGCAATCGCAAATGCGAGCTCAGATGGATTGTTCCTTGTTTCGTCGCACAAGAATTCGCATCGGCAGCTAATGTAACCGGAAGTGGTGCTATGTCTCGAATGTCAGTTAGCAATTCAAGACATCCGGTCATATGATGTGTTGCTCCTGTATCAAGAATCCACAACTTATCATCAATTTTACCCCCTGAGGTTGCATTCGATTTGCTGGCATTGAGTAGCCGTTGAATAGCACTCCATTGCTCATCAGAAAGTCCAGTCAACCCAACACGATCACTGTCTGTAATCTTCCCAGCCGAGTTCATTCCAGCTGAATATGCATTAGGAATTTGTGTGATGTTTGCCCGTGGGTTAGAGCCACCTCCACGGCCACCTTGATGAGTTCCTCTTCCTCCAAATTTAGGGAGAGGCTTATCAGGCCACCAGTCTGGATAGCCAATAATTTTGAAACATGAGTTCGCCTCATGGCCTTTCTTTCCACAGGACGTGCACGTTTGATTGAAGTCACGGTTGCCACGAGATGTTTCTGTAGATGTCGATCCTTGTGGTGAGAGATCTTTAGTCCAGACGGGTGCTGAAGCTCAAGTAGCAGACGAAGGTGAAGCTTGAGTCGCAAAGCTCATCATTGGAGTTTCAGTAGCAATATTCGCACGTATCGTCTCATTCTGTAATATAGTCTGATAGACACTGTCAAGGTCTGGCATAGGTGTGATTGCACACAACTGAGATCGAATGACTCCATGAACCGAGTAATTTAAGCCGGAAAGAAAATCATGTATCTTCAGAGTTTCTTTTTCTTTATCATGAGCTGTATTGAGATTACACTCACACTTTCCACATACACATTGCTTTGTCTCCATACACTCGGAAATCCCGTCCCATATTTTGGTCAAGCGACCAAAGTAATCATCAACGCTCGAGCCGTTTTGTTTGCAAGTCGCCAAAGAATTTCTGAGTTGTTGAAGTCGAGCACCACTTTTAATAGAAAATCGTTTCTTGATGATGTCCCATAAGTCTTTCGCAATTTCTCAAGTCGAGATAGTCGACCTTATTTTTGGCTCAATCGTTTGTTTGATCCAGCCAACGAGTAAGTGGTTATTTGCCACCCAGTCTTCGAGATATGGCGAGCCTGCTTCAGGTTTGGGGATACTCCCATCAAGAAATCCAAACTTCTTGTGAGAGCTAAGAGCCATGCAGAAATTAATGGCCCATTCATCGTAGTTCCCTCCATTGAGTAGAGGTTGTGATATGACAGCACCCGGATTATCGTTTGGAGACAAGTCGTAAGGTGTTATGGTCTTGTACTTTGGATTAGCTTCAACAATCGACATGATGATTGTATTAAAAAGAAGGCTCTGTTTTCAGAGATGAAAAACAGAGGAAACAAGATAGAAAAGACACGTAACTTGTTGGAGAAGCAAGTTTCGTGAAGAAAAAAAATTAGGTCTTTCAGATCTTTTGCTCTGATACCTTGACAAACTTAGAATGGGAAAATAATGTTCTTCCGTAGAAGAAGTTACATATATACAATCATAATCTTCCTAAAAAGGATGTTCCCAAATCTCATAAGATATACACAAATATGTTAAACTATAGGATATGGAATATATCCTAATATAAACTCAGCATTTCAACCATATCCAATCCAAGTGCCGTGAGTTCTCCGGACGGAGTGTTTAATTTCACCTTCACCATGACGGGAAACTCAACTCTTCCTCCCCTTATCAACCCTAGAGATTTACACAGTTTTAGACATTCTACAGCTTGGGACAGACAAGGATGAAGGTAAGCATGTTCTTGTGCCATTCTGTAATCTAAGTTGTGTGTCTTTCAATACCTTTTTTATTTTATTTTTTAATGTTTCTAAGATGATTTAGAGTTATGTTACGATTAGTTTCGGCTATGAAGAACATCAAGAAGACATATGGTTTNAGAGATTTACACAGTTTTAGACATTCTACAGCTTGGGACAGACAAGGATGAAGGTAAGCATGTTCTTGTGCCATTCTGTAATCTAAGTTGTGTGTCTTTCAATACCTTTTTTATTTTATTTTTTAATGTTTCTAAGATGATTTAGAGTTATGTTACGATTAGTTTCGGCTATGAAGAACATCAAGAAGACATATGGTTTGACCAAGAAGGTAAGCTGGCACGGGGATCCATGTGCTCCTCAGTTGTATCAGTGGGAAGGTGTAAATTGCAGTTACCCGAACTCCGAGCCATCGCTGGTCATATCCTTGTATGTTATTTATTCTTTATCACAAGGTTCTATAGTTTTGGCTTTCAAGAAAGTTCTATAACTAGCATCGATACTTTCTATTTTTTTTTATCAAATAATAGGAACTTGAGTGCAAGCGGATTGATCGGTACCATAACATCTGAAATATCCAAGTTAACACAGTTGAAAGAGCTGTAAGCATCAATAAAATTAGTTTTACATATAATTGATTGTGGAACAAATCTGCTTTTTCTTTATTTAATGGACAGTGATTTATCGAGTAATGAGTTATCAGGAGAGATTCCAGCTTTCTTTGCCGATATGAAGCTGTTGAAACTCATGTAAGCTTCTTTGCACAACCTTTTTCTCGTATACTCTCTGCTCTTTCTGTTCTGAAAGATTCAGTTTTTTTTCTTCTCATTCACAGAAACTTAAGAGGAAATCTGAAGCTTAATCTCACAGTTCCAGAGTCTCTTCAGGAAAGGCTAAACAGCAAATCTTTAACACTAATGTAATTTTTCTACTTCACTTAGTTCAAATCAACTTTTTCTGGAATCAGTTGGAAAGTATTTGTAATGCCACACTTAAGCTATCATAACTTTTAATGGCTATAGTCTGGGCGATACCCTGGATCCCACGACTCTCGGAGGAAAAATTAAAAAGGTTCCAGTGCTTGCTATCGCAGTGCCAGTGGCTGGGGTGTTAGTTATCGTGGCCATCTTTTTCGTCGTTAGAAAAGAAAAAAACTAAAAACAACGGGGCTATGTTTGACTCACCAGACCGAGTTCTTGAGATTTTGTAAGGAAAATGAACATATTTTTTAAAAAAAAATTCAGCTCCAGGACCTCCATCAGTCACTACGAGTTTAGTTAATAGTGAGACTAGACCATCCAATCCATCAATTATAACAAAAGACCGCAGGGTTACGTACCCCGAGGTACTGAGGATGACTAATAACTTCGAGAGGGTTCTTGGCAAAGGAGGCTTTGGAACAGTGTATCATGGAAACCTGGATGATGCTCAAGTAGCTGTTAAAATGCTCTATCATTCATCAGCTCAAGGTTATAAAGAATTCAAGGCAGAGGTTTGTTAAAAGATATGTCCTTACTATTAATCTTTGTTTTTAAATAATGTTAAGTTTCTATAAATAATCATGAAATTGTAACTTTGTAATTTTTATCAGGTTGAGCTTCTTTTAAGAGTTCATCATAGACATTTGGTGGGACTTGTGGGGTAGTGTGATGATAGAGATAATTTGGCACTGATCTATGAATACATGGCAAACGGAGACCTGAGGGAGAATATGTCCGGTAAACACTTTGGCTAAAGAGACTCTAATTTAGTTGGATCGATCTCCTTCCACAGTTAAAACATTCAAAGCTCATTATAGGAAAACGTGGAGGCAATCTCCTAACCTGGAAAAACAGAATGCAAATAGCTGTAGAGACAAGACAGCACAAGGTGAGCAAAACTCTGACTTATTCTCTTTATCTTTGTCTGATTCATGAAAACAAAATGTTGCCTATATATTATGATTATGATGTTTAAAAGCAAAGACTTGCATAATAATAACCATTTGTAACAGGATTGGAGTATCTGCACAATGGATGTAGGCCTCCTATGGTCCATAGAGATGTGAAAACGACCAACATTTTATTGAACGAGCGGTCTGGAACAAAACTAGCTGATTTTGGGCTTCAAGATCTTTCCCAATTGATGGTGAATGCCAACTTGACAGTGGTTGCAGGCACACCTGGATACCTAGACCCCGAGTGAGTTGATCGAATGGGTAATCATGAATGTTGGCTGTCTTACTTAAATCAGTAATCAAGAATGTTTGTGTAACCTCTCTATATATACTATCGCAGGTACTACAGAACAAATTGGCTACGCGAGAAGAGTGATGTCTACAGCTTCGGAGTAGTGCTATTGGAGATAGTAACAAACCAGCCAGTGATTGCTAAAACCAGAGAAAGACCTCATATCAATGAATGGGTTGGGTTCATGCTCACCAAAGGAGATAGTAACAAGCTGATGGGGGACTATGACACAAATGGTGCGTGGAAGATTGTAGAGCTGGCTATGGGTTGTGTGAACCCATCTTCAAACCAAAGACCAACAATGGCACAGGTTGTGATGGAGCTAAACGAGTGTGTGGCCTTGGAAATTGCAAGGAGACAGGGTAGTCAAGAGATGTACTCAATGAGTTCAGTTGATTGTAGTCTCACTTCTGCTTCAGAGTTTGCTCCGGGAGCCAGATAACTAAAAAAATATGTTATATTTGATTTAATAAAAAAAATCCTTTTTGTTTTTTTTTGGCATTTTATCTTCCTTGCGAAGTTCCCAATTTAATGTTTTTGAAAAGAATCCAATTGTTGTTTTGTTCTTTGTATTGAATTAATAAGACTCGGATGAATTTTCCTCGTGATAAACTATATTGTTTTACACAAAACATAAGGTATTACATTTTGTGTGCTATGGAAGAACCAAAATATATCTTGCATATCAATAATTTCTGATTAGTTCATATCTTTTATTTCAAGTTACCACTGGTTAGTTCAAGATTGATCTATATCTAGCTAAGGGTGTTGAATGATTGTTTAGTGTAGACGAAAAGTTTAAATTTATTGGCAAAATGATGGCTTATATCTTTATATATATATATGTGTATTTTTGGTACAGTCTGTGGAGATTCTATAACTGTTCTAATGTAGAAGTATGCTTTTTGAATATTTAGAAAGAATAGTTCAGCGAACAGTGTATGTTTAATGTCCTACTTGATGGTGTCAAAATAATTTTATTGGAAGGAAACAACTTGTCACAGTAGTCTGGAGAATATCAATTACATACATTATATATAATTATTTAGAAATTAGTTGTTTTGCCCGAATTTGCGGGCATAATATTTTTATAAATACTTATTTTGTATGTTTTATTAATTAAAAAAACAGTACAAATTATAATAGAATAATATTATTTCCTGAAGTAAAAAATTAATTATACATAAAATCATAATATATAAATATATATATAACTTATCATGTTGTTGCAGTATTATTTCTAGATAACAACACAATATTTTAAAAGTATCATATTTTATGAAAAGTATGTTTTTATTTTCAAATTTTGTATTATATTAATTTATAATCAATTATCTATTATAACATAAAAATCTAGTAATATTATATAAATTATTTTTAAATATACGATAAACTATATATATATATATTTTTTTTTATTAAGGATTGTATAGATATTAAGCATTCTAACTTTTAACATCAAATCTCGAATGCGAAAATTTACTTTACAAATAATAGTATAGATATCCAAGAAAAAATAAAGAGATATACATTGTCTAATTATTATCTTTTGTTATCATATATTGTCTAGTTATATCTAATGTTAATATGAAGTAAGTATTAATATCAAGCACACAGCTAGTAAGAATTAAAAATCAACAGCGGACGAAAATCATTAGAGGTTGTTGCTTAGGCAATTGGCATGCACAAAAGAATAGTACACAACTTAATTGTTTTTGAGCATTGACATTTGACGGTAGAGATTCAATAAGTGAACGACAAAGACTAAGAGTAAGAGATAGATCAACCAGTCAAGTGCATCTATACAAAAGTCGAAGTCAACGAGTACGTAAGACCAGCTCTCCATTGTAAAAGATAAGATCAACCAATCAAGTGCTTCTATACAAAAGTCGAAGTCAACGAGTACGTAAGACCACCTCTCCAAAGAAACCCTTAAAGGCTCTTTAGAATAATTTAAGAGTTAAAAAGGTAATTTGAAAGTTTAAGATCTTTAGTTTATGCTAATTAATTTTTTTACCTCCAACGGTAGATTCCATAGAGGTTCTTAATTTTTTTTTAAAGTAGAATGATTTAAAATAAAAACATATACAAATTTTTTCAATAAAAATGACATAAACGCATATTACAAATACAAATGCAAATAACGGGAAAAATCCGATTAGTTGAAATCTTGAAATTTAGTCGCTGTGGGACAAACAGAAGTTGAGTTTAATTTTTTTTTTAATTTGCGTTAATTGAAGAAAGAGAAAAAGCTTGCAGCACCAAAGAATCGAACCCGACACAGTCTACATCATCACATGTATCATCAACCACTGAACTATTTTCTTTCTACGTTATATATTCACATGGATTACTATATAACCATATATTTATAGTTAAAAAAATATAAAAACTAATCCCCGCATACACCCCGATTAATCCCCATTTTTTTGGTAACTCGCTAGGCTCGGAATTGCCGTCCGATCAGCGCCTAGCATAATTTTGAACATTTCTTAAAAGCCACTAATGGACATGCTCTAAGAATGTTGGTTTGATGCATGTCTCTTTAATTTATTTCTCGTTTTTCCATGTCGACCAAAATTACAGCGTGTTCTTTTGAGCTGACAAGTCAACGGTTTTGTGGCTGTAGTTACATGAGAGTTTTTTTATATCGAAAATCAGCGGATCCAGGCTATCATGTGAGGAACGCCCTTGTTACTATAAAGTTGAGTGGTTATTTTATGTCTTTTGACCCAAGTTTGGAGTTTACTAACGGTGTATCAATCATCTATTACGATCTATGATCTAAATCACTTATATCGAAATCTAAACCTAAACCGGCCAAATAATGATAATTTAATTATATGGGACAACAGTGAACACTAATGATAAGATAGAGGAGATCATCCATGTGACGCAATCGGATTCTTTGCAGGCATGTCTTGATAAGACAGGCATTAGTATACCATTTATAAATGTCTTGGAGCTATGTCCATTGAAAACGCAACGTACGTTACTCAAAGCGGCTCACTCAAATTCTTATTCAGGAGGTATCTTAGAATTCGGACCATAATATATGTAAGAACATGTAAAGCTTTCAGATTAGATTGATCGTCTATGATGGCACTTTTAAAATTAACTAAGTGTTTCATCCACACATGCGAAGTACACGAATAGTTATTAATATATGTATCTATATTATTAAAAATGAAGTACTTTCTTGAGTTGTTTGGACACAAAATAACACATTAATGAGAATTGTTTGGAAACAAGTGTAACACATTAATGAAAATTGTTTGGAAACATGGATTGCAGATTAAATATTTTCTTTTATTTATACTATTAGTCATTGTATTTACAATAAATTAAGTATTTCCTTTTTTATTTCCATTTATTTACATATTATATCACTGTATTTAAAATCAATTTAAACTAATTGTTTGCAATGAGTGTTATTTCTTTGTGTTGAAAAATAAAAACACAAACTTAAATATATAGTGCATATTATATAAAACAATTATAGTATTACCTTATTTAGTTTAATAAAATATAAATACTTCGAAAGTTCAATATTCAAGAAAAAAATATCATAAACTTAATAATAATTCATATAAAATAATGAAAAAAAAAATTAGTATTTTGTTTCATTTTAAAATAAATTAATAAAAAAAACAAAATGTTAATATATGAATAGTACAATTGCATCAAGCTATAATTTTTTAATATAATATTATGTAAAAATAAATAAAAATATTATTAATCATCTTATAATTAGAAAATAATATATTTTACTCTATGTAAATAACAAAATATAAAAAATATACATGATATTTTTACATAAAATAAGTATTTTATGAATTTACGATAAACACAAGTTAAATCAACACCCGCGCGTTTTATAAAGATGATAATTTTAGAGTTTTCTCACACTTTAAGTATAAAATTACAATTCCCAAAAAATAACCTTATTTAATACATAATTTACACATAAAAATATTATATTTAGTTATTATTTTGATTAATATGGCGAAATAGGTAAATGTATAAATTGTTAATTGAAAACATAAATTACTATATTTTGAAACAGACAAAAATCTCAAAATTACTATCAGTTGAACTGATAGAGTTAAAATTAATAACTTGTCAATGAAACCAGTAGAGTAAAAGGGTTTCTGTTATCAATAATCTAGTTTACGAACATTGTTTTAAAACATTTTTAAGACAATAGTTGGACGAACCAATCCAAAATGAAGCACATAACTTTGGAACCTAGTTCTGATTCCATGACTAAAGGTGAGATGTATGTTTACAAACATTTGGCTGATCTCTCTCCTCGGTTCCATATATATTTTAAGCTTTTGTTTTGTTTTTCTTTGTTTAATCATATGTAGAACCGTGCTTACCATTGTAGAGAATCAAATTCTATAATAGACCACATGGGTGTGGAAAAAAAAAAATTTACATGAAGGGACACATTCTCACTTTCATTTAACACAATAAGACACTTCTTGCCTTAGACACACTTTCTGTGTACAATTTGTCTTTTATACCCCCAACCAAACTGCAAGCTTACAACACTACAATTACACATTCTTTTTTTTCCTAACTAAATGACAGAACGTAACATCCAAACAAATAAACAATTTCCTATATCTACTTTCCTATTCTCTCCATCTTTTCAAATAAAATTCAATTTCCAATTCTCTCTCATCTCATGAACCCTAATTCCCCAAAAAAACAATTTAAAATAAACTTTAACAACCGATAGTCTTTCTTGGGAGAGATCTCAGTTTGAAGACATGTTGCTCTCCCTCACTCGAACGGATTTCAGTCTTGTCTGGAGCCCTTCACCGGTGTCTTTCTTCTGTTCTCCCAGATTTGTTTCTCTACTATGTTTCTCCTCGAAGCTTGAAGTTGCGCCAATGGTTGTTCCCCAGCTTCTCTGTCCATGACGGAACCAATCCTCTTTCTCTTTTCGTTTCAACCAAAACGCCATCGATCTATCATTCGTCTCCATCTCTCTCGCCGATTAATCCATCCTCCGGTTCATCTCTCTGTAACCTCAGAGTAGGAATGGGAAGCATACTTGTGGTATCAAAACAGAGGAGTTAGGTTCAAATTCTTCTTCTTTTTTTTTCATAACTGTTTTGTTAACTTGAGTCCATAAGTCCATGTCCAAGTTTTTTCATATACGTTTGTGGTATCAACATAAAATCATTTCCTTTTGATTTGTTTCTTTATAGTTCTCTTGATGTTTTGTATTATCATTTTGTGGAACAAAACACATAAGTTTAATTTTCCACATTTCTCCATCCATGTCCATGTTTTGAAAGAGTTCGACATGTACAACATTTAGTAGTTTTTATCCAGTCCATGTGTTTCATGTCCACATCTTTCCATCCACAACTTTTTTATTCACGTTAGAATGTTAAAAATATAATAAAAATATAGTGAAAGTGGATA